CCCCGCCGCCTGTGTCCCCAGACTCCCCTTCTCTGCTGCTCCTCTTCTCTCCCACCCCGTCCGCCACTGGCGTAAGACTGAAAAGGGGTTGTTTCGGTTCATCTGTGAGATTTTAGTTTTTCCTGCCATTTCCTCTGCCCCAGTGAGGCATCGGGTTATGTGGAAGAATCTAGAGGAGCCCTGGCGTGTGGTCCCCCCGCCTGTCCCAGGGAGCCATGCCGGCTATGCTGGGCTGAGCACGCTGGTTCTGGGTGTGTGGTCTGTTATCGGCACAGCTTGTCTGCCTTGGGTTGAAGAGGGCTGACTCCCTGCAGACGGGCTGCCTTTACCCCCAGGGTTTAGAATCCAGGTGGGTGACAGGTATCATTCCAGCCTGTTGCATTAAGCCCATCTTCTCACTGAATCCTGTGAAACTTTCAGATACAAATGATGCTCTCCAAACAGAAACCTCTTCCCAAGTCAAGGACAATAAGGTAAGTCTGGGCTGTGGCTTTTGAAGAATGAAGAGGATTTCGTGACTCCCTAGGATTGTGCACTCATGTGTAGAGCAGAGGACCCTTCATTTCCCAGGGAACACCCTCCCTTCCCCGCTGCTTTTACTGAGGACCTGAAAGCTGCCTGTGTGAGGTGTGTTAGCTGTCATGTAAATGGTCCCAAATAACGTTAGGAACCTGCTCTGGCGAGGAGCTCTGGCTCTGACTCAGACACTGGACAGGCTTGTAACCCACTCCAGCCCACCACTCTCAGCCTCTCTAGATTTCAGTGACTCTCAGCTGTAAAGAAAGTGAGGACATAACATCCCCTCACAGGAGGTTTGTGGGGGTTGAATGTTCCACCGATGGGCTGCGATTCACTCTCGTTTCCTGCTTTGGTTTGACTTCCAGCCCCTGGTTGAACGGTTTGAGACCTTCTGCCTGGACCCTTCCCTTGTCACCAAGCAAGCCAGCCTGGTGCACTTCCCGCCAGGATTCCAGCCCATCCCCTGCAAACCTTTGTTCTTTGACCTGGCCCTCAACCACGTGGCTTTCCCACCCCTTGAGGACAAGTTGGAGCAGAAGACCAAGAGTGGCCTCACCGGATACATCAAGGGCATCTTTGGATTCAGGAGCTAACCAGGCTCTTCCCTGGGGCAGGGGACGAGTCTGGCTCTCAGTCTGTGTTGTGAGAAACCCCAGCAGGTCCAGGCCCACGTTGGCCCAGGGCAGGAGTACACCATCCTCACCTGCCTTCCTGTGTCTCGTGTGTTTGTACACTTCGCTCCCACCCAGTGTGCAGGAGGACACCCTGCTGTCCTCTGGTGAACGTGTGCAGGGTCCTGTGTCGTCCTCCCTGGGGGAGGGGCCCCTGCCTCCTGGTCTCGTCTGAGCCACGGTCAGTAATGGTTTCATGGGGTCCACACCCGGCACGGATGGGGGCTCGCATGCTTTGTCGTGTTTCTTCAGTACCATGGATTTGAATGAACTCATCCTTGCTGTGAGCACCCAGGAGCCCTTCAAGAGTTGGTCTGAGACGAGGAGACATTGGCAGCGTCACCCCAGGGTTACAGTCAGCCTTATTCCCCTCCACCTCCGAGCGACAGTTAAGAAGTTTCAGAACAAGCAAAGAGCTCTATTTTTAGAAGAAATATGTTATCCTCAGAAATGATGAAAACAAATCTTCTATTAAAAGGCAAAGATGCTGGCTGCTCTGCCCGTTCTTTACACTCCCTCTTTCCCGTCTGGCCCCAGCTCTCTCCTTGGGAGCCTTGTTGCAAAATCCCATCCTGTCACATGCTTCCTGACTTCCTGGCAGCATGGGTCTGTCTGATGCCTGATAAGAGTGTAGAGGCCCTACAGGATTTCCCCACCTGTAATTTTTATATGCCATCATATTTTAGTCAGTTTCCTTCCCTACTCTTGTTTTTTCTTAGTCACTTTTTTATCTCTACTACAGCATCAGCAATAGAATTCCCAAAAGCAAGGTCAGACAGCAAGGAATAAAGTGACTTTAACATGAGATGCATGAAGCTCTGGGGGCTCAGTGGTGCTGCTGCCTTCCCGGTGGACTGCGGAGGGGCTTGCCGGAAGTGGTGGGAGGAGGAGCAGCTGTGTCTGTTAGACCTGAGCGTTGGCTTTGCAGGTGCTTGGGAAACACACTCCTCTCACTCTGGGGTTTGCTTTGGGTCAGTCAGCCTGAAGAAGCAGATTTCTTTCTTCTAATTGGAAGTTTCATCGTCTGTGCTGTACAAGGTAGGGATATCCTTTCCTCTGTCTCTACCTTCTGAAGGTACAGCGCAGATGATCTTAGCTCAAGGTCCTGGATCTGGGTCCTGAAGACCCGGTCAGTGTTCCTGACGGGCAGTGGGCAGAGCGCCGGGGACCATCCTCTCTCAGCCCCATCCCGCTCCCCGGCGCCCTTGGCAGTCCCAGGCCTGGGGTCTAAGGTTCTGCACCCCCCTCGCCTCTTCTCAGCGCTGACCTGGGCTGCAGCCACAGCTGGGGTGTCCTGCAGCCTTGGGGACCCAGTTCGAGGCCCACTATGTGGGCGGCCCTCCAGCCAACTTCGGCCAGTGTCTCTGGCGCTTTGTGTGGGGAGTATCCTATGATAAGGATAGAAAATCTTGTTCTCATCTGGGAAGGTGTCCGTTTGTCTTGCTGAGAGTGGGTCCTTCCAGGTTTTCCTACTCTTCAGAGTGCTGGCAGTGAGGGGGAGCCGGAGCCCTGGGTGGGTCTTTAACTGGCCTTTTCTAAGCTTTTTCATGAAAAAGAAACACTGGGCACTCCTCTCCACATAGTGTCGCTGCTGGCTGCGCTTCAGCCTCTGAGGCCATGACCAGGTGTGTTTAGTATTAAAAGCACATATTTACCTGAGAAGACAGACCTGGCAGGGCCGAGGCCACGCTTAGCTCTCACGTCCCTTCACCTGGAATAGCCGGACATTAAACAGGCCGTGTCACCGGGGGGCAGAATCCCATCCTATCTCAGGCCCGGGAGCGGCTGACACGTCTCACGGGAACGGGTTCAGAGTCAGGCCCGGGGAGTAGCTGTCTTCGCTGGGTGGATTCACAGGATGACTCCGCAGAGGCCACCCGCTCCTGCCTTCCTGGAGAGTGGAGGTGGGAGGTTGCGGGTGTGAGGGAGGGAGGTGGACACACTCCCTCAGGACGGGCAGCAGTCCGGTCAGCAGGATGTGGTCGTGGGAGTTTCTGTCTCCCCACATCCAAGAGCACGAGGGGAAGCTCGGCTGAGCCTACACTTTGAGAATGTGCCTGAGGGCTGCTGTGTTCCTGCTTTTTATTTTCTTACCTGTCAGGTGGTGACGGTCTCAATCTGCAGAAACGTTAGAGGTCAAAGCTCGCATGCAACCAAGAGGAATAAATGCTGAACCTTGGAAAGACATGATTTGGCCAAGTTTGTCATCCTTAACTGTTGGCTTTGTTGGGGGAAAAAGGTAGTTGGGGCTGGACAGGCCCTCCGCTGCTCAGTCTCCTGGCTCTTTCCTTTTCGCATGCACTGTTTTGCTGTACTGTCCAGTTTTCCATTAAACTAGGTGAGAATTCTTGGATTCCCTGTTTGAAATGAAACACTGACAGGCTTGGTTCCACCTCTTTCCTCCGGTGGCAGCCTAAGCCTTTCATCATGGCCAAGAGGGGACTGCCTGCGGGACAGTGCACCCGTCCACCCTCAGTGGCCTGGCCCCTCACTGGTCTTTCTTCCGACAGCTGAGGCAGTGGCTCCCCCAAGCCCCCCAGAGCGGATGCCGGCTCCAGGGCAGGACCTGTCCACTGTCGTCGCTGTGGTGATGCTGGTCTTTCCCACACTCGGCATCAATTATACACGAAAGCTAGTTGATCACATAAGATTCTAAACAGCACGCGGCTGTCTACAGCCTTGAGAAACTTGGAACCTTCAGAGGTCTTAGGAAAATGTCCAAAGATAGCAAAAATATGTGTGAATTCTAATTTTTTTTTTCTTTAATGTTTTGGAAGACACTTGTTGCTACAGAGGAGATGGAAACCAGATTTAGCTATAAAATTTATTGATGTTCCAAAGCAAAGAGATAAATTGGAACCTGTCTCCATCCTGATGACACCAACTGGAAGAGTTCCGGCCTGTGGTTCTGTGAGATGTTGGGGACCCTCTGCGCGGGCACGAGATCACAAATGACCGGCATGGCCTCTTGCTGCCCAGGGGGCCCCCCTCCCCGTAAGCACCGTAAAGGCTCTGCGAACATTCTCCAGCAGTACTGTTAGCTGGTACAAGTTAAAATATAACCTCAGCCGATGAATGCTGATGGAGCGCTGTGGGAAACGTATCTGACCTTTTGAAGCCGCTAAGGGGCTGTGGTCAGAGTTACGGTTTGGTTTTGTTCTTTTTTCAGGGCAGGATCCTGGCGACTGTTCGGGGGCCCTGTGGCCCTGGGTCCGAGCCCTGCATAGCTTCAAGGCGGTGGCTCTGCTTTCCTCCCTCTGCCGTGGCCACTGTCGTCATCTTCATTGTGCTGGAAAGGGGAGCCTTGCTTCTCTGTGGTCCCCATTTTCAGCAGATGGTTTTGTTCACCTCCATTAGCTGTATCCTTCAACCATGTATCCTCACGCTCAGTCTGCAGGTAATCGACCCCTTGGAAAGGAACCACGTCTTTTCTGTTAGGCTGGACTTTCCCAGGGACCTTCTGGCAGGAGGAAGTGCAGTTACAACAGGCAGGTAACTGTTCCCTGAAAGCTAGTGATGTTTGGAAGCTCTCACCTTGGAATGGAAGAGGGGTGGGGATCGTCCCCTGGAAGCCGGGGGCATCTAGTTCTCTGACATGCAGAGGCCTTAGTACCTAGTAGGCAGGCTTTGACAAATAAAGTTCCTTCCCTTTGCTCCCCCATGGATGAACCTGGCATTAGAACACCAAGCGTGGGGACTTCCCTGGTGGTCCAGTGGCTAAGACTCCTTTCTCCCAGTGTAGGGGGCCCAGGTTCAATCCCTGGTTAGGGAACTAGATCTCACATGCCACAACTAAAGACCCTGCATGCCGCAGCAAAGATCGAAGATCTCTCATCCTGCAACTAAGACCTGGCACAGCCAAGTCAGTATTTATGTATTAAAAACCAACACCATGCTTCTCCCTCCACTGTTGTCCATAGGCGCCCTTCACACCTGAGCCCTGTCCTGGCCCTGACCTGGGCCTCGCGGGAGGAGCCTCTGCCTAGCTGGGACTCAATCTAGAACAGTCTTTTCTCACCGTAGCCATACCATCTAAGCCCAGGGTCCAGGCTCCTGTGCACGGAGTTGATGGGGCCCGCACAGGTGAGAGGTGAGGGACCCTCGTGTTCACAGCCACCTTCTCTGCTCTCAGCAGGCCCCACCGCCTTCCTCTTCCCTCTCCGGGGCTGAGTCTTGCGAGGTCTCAGCAGCATCATCAGGACAACGGATGAGTCTAGTGAGCCGCCCTGTGTGCTGCTCCATTTCCTGACAGTAAGGACTGATTAGGAGGGCTTACCCCTCAGCTCTGAAGACTTAACAGTTCTTCCATTTTGTTTGTTTTATGAATCTTTCTTCCTGAGACCACTGAGATGGGGCTTGGTGCATCTGAGCCCCTGCTGCTTTAGTTCAGACAGTGTAACTACCCCCAGCTGCTGGGCTGGGCTGTTGACCTTTCTAGAGAGAGAGTGTGTGTGTGTGTGTGTGTGCGCGTGCCCATGTGTGCACACTGTTGACCTTGCAGGTGTGTGTGTGTTTGCCACCCAGTCGTGTCCGACTCTTTGTGACCTCATGGAGCCCGCCAGGCTCCTCTGTCCGTGGAATAATTCTCCATTCCAGAGAACACTGGAGTGGGTTGCTATTCCCTTCTCCAGGGGATCTTCCTGACCTGGGGATCAAACCCGGGTCTCCCTCACTACAGGCAGATTCTGAGCCATCAAGGAACTTGTGAGGGACATGGCTAAGCCGCCTCCATTAAACCTGAACTTCACGATAGGGCTGCATATCCCCAGACAAGGCTGTTAAGGCTCCTCACTGTCTTCAGGGTGACAGGCCTAGAGCCCCTCGACAGCTTGGGGAGACCTCGAGGCCCCGCAGTGAGTGTGGGCAGGCTGTAGACTTCCAGAAGGTGGGCATGGCTTGTGCAGCAGGCTGCTGTGTGGCCGGGAAGTGTGGGCTGTACCAGCACGGGTCCCACGAGGGAACTGGGGCCACTGTGACCCGAGGCTGGGGAGAGGGAATCGCTCCCAGGGAGGGGCAGACAGCCAAGGCCTCCTTGGCCTTGCCCTCCCAGCCAACTCGGGACCTGAGGACTCCTGAAGTCCTTTCTGTGTTCTCTGTCTCGCCACCTAGTGTGGGGAACCTTGTTCTCTTGACATGGGCAGGACTGGGTTTGTTGGAGTTGCTTCCTCTAGACTCTCCCTATGACAGGCCCAGAAGGAATAGCCAGCTCCTTTCTCTGCCCTCCCTGCTCTAGTTGGGCAAGCCATGGTCACCTGCTTCTCTCCAGGCCAATCTTCGGCATTTCTTTTTATCAGACTTGCTAGGCAGACTTGCAGCCAAGAGAGCCTCCTCCAAATGGCCTGGTGGATTCCTGGGCCTCAGCCTCTACCTCCCCCGGCTCCTGCGGACAGGAGGCGGCCCAGGACTGCGCCCCACCCCCCAGCCCTCATCACCTCCGCCCAGTCGGCCAAGGCGCCTCAGCTCCTCAGCTGGCCAAGGAAGTGTTACCAGCCAGCTCGGCTCCAAGGGTCTGCTAGCAGAGCTTTGTACAAACACAGAGGGCCATTTCCTGAGATGGCCAAGCTTGTCCTGATCCGGGAGATATGGGAGCCTGACAGGTTATGGCTCCCAGGGTTATGGCTCCGCAAGGAGCAGCAGGGAGCAGACTGCCCCTCCCAGCAGGACCCCTGGAGCGGGAGGAGAGAGTGGGCTGCCTAAGCCAGCCACCCTGGCACAGTATCCAGGCTGCCACCCTGTTGCCTAGCTGCGTGCACACGTGGCAGATTCCCAGCTGGGAGCCGCAGCGCTTTCAGCTCTGATCACCCTGCGGCTTCGGCCTTGGGCCCCACGAGCTGTGAGTGGCCCACATGGCTTGCCTGGAAGCGCCAGGCTGGGGCGTGTGAGTAAGCTGCCACTCAGAGTCACAGTGCTGAAGTGCCTTCCCTGGTGGTCCGCTGGCTAAGACTCCGCACTCCCAGTGCTGACTTTGATCCCTGGTCGGGGAACTAAATCCCACACAGCGCAACTAAAGATCCCCCCATGCCCCAATGGAGACCAAAAATCCTGCTTGCCTCAACTAAGACCTGCCCAACCAAATAAATCAATAAACTTCAGGGGGGATTAAAAGTCACAGGGCTGGAGGGAGGTTGGGGACCCTCAAACATCTCAGTCCGCAGAGGGAGAAGCACGTGCCAGGCGAGGGGAAGGGGCTCGGGCGGGACGGGAAGCCAGGTCCTCGGCCTCCTGCCTGGTTCCAAAGAAGATGCGGTGGAAGTGAAGCCCAGGAAGGCTGAAACAGGGCACCCAGTCCGGCTTCTGGGTCAGAGCTGTCTGATAGAATTATAATGTCAGCCACAAATGCAAGTCTTATCTGTAACTTGACATTTTCTAGTAGCCATGTTAAATGAAAATAGCAACACCCCTTCCCCCAGGTGAGGAAAGCATGAGAATCCGTGACCCTGAAGTGTCCTCAGTGACCACACCGGCGCTCAGACCTCAGACATCCCACCTGCAGAGCTGGAAGCAATAAACTTCAGCTGTTGGTGAACCAAAACATAAAAAGCAATAGGTAAAATCAGTTTTTTAAAATAATGTTTCATTTAACACAGTATATCCAAAAGATCACTTTGGCATGTAATCAATATGAAACTCCGCTTCCTTGGTGGCTCAGAGAGTAAAGAATCTGCCTGCAATGCAGGAGACACAGGTTCGATCCCTGGGTCGGGAAGATCCCCTGGAGGAGGGCATGGCAACTCACTCCAGTACTCTTGCCTGTAGAATCCCATGGACAGAGGAGCCTGGTGGGCTACAGTTCATGGGGTCGCAAAGAGTAGGACACTAACTCTTTCACAACCTAAAACAGTATTGAGATATTTTACATCCTCTTTTCATACTAAGTCTTTGAAATCTGGGGTGAATTTTGCACTTAGAGCATCTCTCAGTTCAGACTGGGCACATTTCAAGGGCTGAAGAGTGACGAGGGCTGGGACAGTGCAGATGGCCACTGAGGCTGTCAGTCCCTTCCCCGCCTTCTAATTTTTTTTTCTCAGATATTGAAGAGCCTACATCTTTCTTCGCCCCCATCCTTTCTCCAGTGCCCTAGTCTTGGGGGCCAGGGCTTCTCTGAAGAGGAGCATCCCGCAGTGACAACCTCCTCGGAAACCTGTCTGTCCCTGCCTCCTGCACGCCAGCACCATCTGGGAGCTATGGTCTGATTTGATCTGATGTTAAGACAGTCACGCCAGGAATTCAGCTCTTGGTTTTCTTGCAGTGAATCAGTTCATCTTAATCTCAGGCATGTGAGGGCCCTCTGTGATACTCATTTATTTCTGGGGCTGGGGGTGGGGGGTGCTTCTGCAGAGAGGAGGCAAAGCTCTAAGGTTCCAGAACTCAGCCTCCCTCCTGTCTTCCACCTGGGGCTGGGTAGGGGGCGGGAAGCACAACTCAGCGGGGCCTCCCCTGGATGCAGGCCTCCCGTGGATGCTTCCATTCCTGGGGCTGGAGTCTAGACATTCTCCCCCCAGGGAATCCAATGACCACCTGCTCCCAACAAGGAGCCTGGAGTTCTCGGGGAAACAGGTGAGTGGGCTGGGGGCTGCTGTCTTCTGTCTTGGCTCTCCTGGGACATTGCTGTCACTTGCCTGACCTCAGAGATAAGGGAGTCTCGGGCCTCTGTCCCTGGTCTCCCCAGTCTGCTGGGACCCTTATCTGTTCTCCAGATGTCTTCTGCCCTCAGCTGGGCCTGCTAGGACGTCGGTGCTCCTAACCCAGCCTGACTAACCCATCCCTCCCCTCCCCTTGCTCCCCCTCAAACCCTCTCCTTCCACCAAAACTGCAGTGGTTCCAGGGAATGTCTCCAGATCTATTAGGAGGGACTTGAGCTGGGCCAGTGAAACGAGCTCCTGGAGACGAGGAACCCATGCCTTTCTTGAAGACTCTGGGGGCCACTGCGGGGGAAGGCAGCTACCAAAATGACCTCCCTGGCTGGCCCTCATTGTGAGGAAAAGAGCAGTAAATGGGTACTGCTGTTCGACACTCCATTGGACTCCAGAAAAGCCACCAGGGGCCACTTTGGGGAGGGAGGAGAGGCAGGTCAGAAACCCAAGTCACAGTGGGTTCCCAGGGCTTCCGTGGTGGCTCAGTGGTGAAGAGTCCGCCTGCAGGAGACACACACCCCACCCCTAGTCCGGGAAGATCCACACGCCTCAGAGCAACGAGCGCACCACAGCAGAGGAGCCCCCGCTCGCCCCAACTAGAGAAAAGTCCAGGTGGCAACAAAGACCAGCACAGCCAAAAATAAACAAAATAATTTTTTTAATGAAACAAAAAACAGTGGGTTCCCAGGAGGCTCCACCAGACCCTGGACTCAGCAGCACCCGAAGGCTAGTGCTTGGGGCCCCTGGGGGAGTCCCGGCCCCTCTAGAGCTGGTCTGCAGCTCTCTGAGGATCCCAGCAACGCACGTGTGACTGCATCTAGCCCCGGAGCCACAGACAGATGGGAGAGGCAGCCGGCCAGGAAAAGCGTTCTGCGGCACCGTGGGGTGGGGCTCCAGGGAGCAGGCTGGGTGGTGTACACTGTTAAAAGGTACCTTGTGCCAGTTGTCTGGGGAGAATGCCCCCTGGCAGCCCCACCCTGTCGGTGGAGGACACGGAGCAGAGACCCAGGCGCCCTGGGGGTGAGCAGAGAGCCCGGGGGTCCCTCCGCCCACCCTGAACTGGTAGGGAGCAGCCCCTGGCGGAGAGTCCTGGGTGAAGAGGTGTGCCTGATAGCAGGGTGTTGGCTGGAGGTGTTTATTAACCCTGAGCTGTAAGGCCTGGCCTCGATCTCTGAGCCTAAATGTGCACACGCGCGTCCGTCTGTCTGGAGCCCTGTCTCCCCTGGGCCGAGCTATTTCCCTGTCTGGGCGTGATCACGCTGGCTCCCTCTGGCTCTGGGCATTGGGTGTAACAAGTCCAAACCTTCTCTGAGACTCAGGCAGGGGCAGGCGCCCCGCCCTTTGGGCTGTTCCCTTTCCTCCCAAACTGGTTGTGCAGGAGCAGGGCGAGTGTGGTGCGGGGAGTGGGGGTGCATGCACGCAGCCCCGGCCCCCTCACCGCCTCACCTGCAGGGAGGACCCGCCCAGAAACTGCCCGCCTGGTGCCTGCTGCCCCACCTCGCCAGAGCCCAGCTGAGCAGCCAGAGAGGACACACGCCCGCTGCCCGCTGCCCGCTGCCTGCCCACCCTCGCCGGCCGAGCCCAGCCCGAGCCCACACCTGCCTTCAGGACCATGTTCAAGGGGCTGAGCAAAAGCTCCCAGGGGAAGGGGTCCCCCAAGGGCTCCCCAGCCAAAGGCTCCCCCAAGGGGTCCCCCAACAAGCACAGCAGGTGAGCATGGCCGGGGGTGGGGGCCGGGGCCAGGATGGCTCCAGACCCAGGGGCTCCAGCCACCTGGAGGCAGCCGGCCAGAGCCGGGGACCAGCACAGCGTTGGCATTTGGTGTCCTGAGGCTAAAGAGCCTGGGGGTGGACTCTCTTCCCGGCCCAGGCCCAGCTCCAGCCCTGGCAGGGGCGCAGGCATGGCCTGGAGCTCCCCCCATTCTGGGGGTTGCGGCCTGAGGGCTCTGCAGACAGGCTGGACAGGGGCCTGAGCTTTCCTCCTCTGCTGGGAGGTGAGGAGGCTGGGGAGCACGGCTCTCCATCCACAGCTCTGCCCTCTAGGCTCCACTTGCCCCAGGATGACCCGTGGGACCTGGGCACAGGGTGGGCAGAAGGACTGGGGCCAGAGAAGCCGAGGGTGGGCGGCGGAGTGCCCAGAGGCAGGGAGGCGGGGCTGTGCTGCTCCAGGTCCAGGCTGCCGCTTTCCCCACCGGCTGGCTCCTTGGGCCTCAAGAGCTTTGTCACCGAGTTGAGATGATTCCTTCACCGGGTTGGTGTGCAGACGGGTGCTGCGGGGAAGCGGGAGGGGCCCATGGACCTGGGACGTCTCAGAGCCTTCCTCAGTTCACCCAGCTCTCTGCGGGGGCCCCAGCCCGGCCCCCCCAGAGCCCCACACTCTGCAGACAGACTCGGGCAGCCTTCTTCCGCTCACTGGCCGTCAGCCCCCTCTGCTGGGTGGAGGAGGCAGCTCACCTGGGGTCCCGGGTGTGGAGGTGGGGGCCGAGATGAAAGGCCCAGCACCCGATAGGGATCAGGGCGAGGACACCGAGGCTGGGCTTCTGGGCGGACAGGAAAGACGGTGGTTAAGACTCTCACTGGAGCGACCTGTCCCCCCTGGGGCTCTGGGCCCTGCCCAGGGCGGAATGGGCTCCTCCCGGCAGGAGCAGCCCTCCCAGGATTCCGGACCTGGAGCTCCTGTCCCCAGGGCGGCTCCCAGTCATCTCCTTCACCTCGGCACTGTGGAGGGCACATCAGTCCCCTTCCCTGCAGTCCATTTGTTCAGCACATATTTATGGAGCACCTACTGTGTGCCTATTTATGGAGCACCTACTGTGTGCTGGGACTGCTCTAGGCCTGGGGGATGCCATCATAAGCAGAGTTGACAGGCCCCTGCTTTCAAATCCCTTTAGAGGGGTAAAAACTAACACTGGGTGCTGACTCTGCACAGGACCCACACAGTAACACGGGGAGGAGGTGGATATTAGTAGAGCCTTGATGTATAGGTGAGGAGCCCCAGGCCCAGAGAGGTTAAGTAACTTGCCCAAGACCACACAGCTGCAGTGACAGAGGAAGATAAAAACCAGGCTGTTGGTCAGAGTTCTTTCAGACTGTCTCTTTGTGGCACGGCCCTTCTGCTTGGAGGGGGCTTCTCCTTGGACCCCTGGGTCAAGGCCCAGCCCGTGTTGCCGTCCCTCCCCGGGGGCGGTGACCCCACAGGGCGCTGTGCTCCTGAGGCTTAGACCACGCTCTTATTAGGTCTGCTTGACCCTCTAGGTCCCAGAGAGTGAGCTGGAGCCCACCGCTGGTGCCCTGTAGAGGCTGGGAGACAGCCCTGGGAAAGGACCCCGGTCTAGGCTCATCCTCTGCTCCTCCTGGCTGTGCCACCTGGAGCCAGTCAGGTCCCAGCTTGGGCTCTGAACCCCCGAATCTGGAAAGTGTTGGGGTTCCCTGGCAATCTCGTGGCCCACCTCCCCCACCGGGTGCTGTGTGTCTCCTCTGGAAGCTTGCTAACCCCGGGCACTGCAAAGCCTGGGGCAGCGGTGGGGAGACAGGGCTGGGGAGGGAGGGAGCTGAGCTGGGGGGCTTGCTGCTGCCCCCCTGCCCCCAGCCAGCTCACCCTCCCCGGGATCCAGCTGTCCCGTCTCAGCTGTGAGGGGCTGAGCCAGTGGTTCATTTGCTCCCCTGCGGGCTGCCGGCCCTCCTGCCTGAAGAAGCAGCAGAGAGCAGGGTGGGGTCGCGAGGCACTTCTTTGACGGGGAGATGGCGGCTCCACAGTGCCACCCACTCCCAGGACGCTCATTTTCTGAAACCTCACTGAAGGCAGCACTCCCCTGCCCCAGGACTGTATCTCACAGAGATTCCCACCGAGAGGCCAGGGCTCCCCAGGTCTTGACTCCACACCTGCAGGGCAGTGAGCTCGGCTGTAGGGAAGGACGCAGTGGGTGCAGGCAGGGGACCCCACCCGGCTGGGCAGACCACTGCCCAAGGGAAACAGGGAACTTCGCCAACCACGCCGCCCTCTGTCTGCACGCCTCATCAGAGCTGCCGCTCAGGAGCTGGCCCTGCTGGTCTCCCGCATGCAGGCCAACGCCGACCAGGTGGAGAGGGACATCCTAGAGACCCAGAGGAAGCTGCAGCAGGTGAAGCTGGGGGCCGATGGTGGGGCACGGGGGTGTGGGAGGCTCATCGCCAGGCCTGGTGGTCCCAGAGGTGCCCACTCACCTTGGTAAAGATGCACAGGCGGTCCTGTCCTTCCCTGGTCACTCCCCAAACACAGTGGGAGCCAGGGCTTGGCACGCCTTCTCTGGTGGGCTCCCAACGCCATGCCCTCCCCTGTCCCTTCATTGTCATCACGGCACCCCTTCTATAGTAACATCAAAGCACAGCTCTTCACCTGATGTTTGGGGGCCCTTGACCTGGTTCTGCACTACCTGCTCAGAAAAACCCCATTTTCCATTGCACCCAAGGCTTTCTCTAGTCAGGAGCATCTGTTCCTTTTTTCTGAAATGTGCTCTCACCACTTCACCCCAGCCCCCAAAGCCCTCCACCTGCAGGAAGCCCTCCCTGATTGCTTCCTACAGGGGAGTCAAAGGGCCTCCCCTGTGTCCCTGAGTCTGCCTCACGGGTGCTCGCACCTCTCCCTCTCCCGGTGTGGGCACCAAGGTTGG